GCGGACTGAGGTCCCGGGTTCGATTTCCGTCAAGGGTATGTACCTGGGTTGCGGGCACATCCCCGGTGGTGGATGTGCAGGAGGCAGCTGATCGATGTTTCTCTCTCATCGATGTTTCTAACTCTATCTCTCTCCCTTCCTCTCTGTGAAAAATCAATTAAAAAAATATATTTTAAAAAATCACATTTCAAATTGGTAGGAAAAGGATTGGCTACTCTATAGTGTTAAGACAACTGGCTTTCAAAAATGAATAAAAACCCTAAATTTATTAAAGATTTAAATATTTAAAAAATAAAATCCTAGAAGAAGATTTAGAACATTTTGGGATAAAGAAGGTCTTTATAAGTATGACTTGAAACCATAAAGAAGTAACTTGAAAATTTTGACTGTAAAAATTAGAAGCTCTGTATAGCAAAAGATACCAAAAAGAATATGAAAAATATTTCTAACTAGTGGCCCGGTGCATGAATTTGTGCACGGGTGGGGTCCCTCAGGATGGCCTGCGGGATAAAGCTGAAACCCAGGGTCCAATGCCGCCTGCAGCTCCTACCTGCTGCTCCCATTCATCCTGGCCCCACTGTGCCTGCCACTGGCTTATGCCCAATCAGTCCCGATCAGGAGAGGCTCGCCCCCCCCACACCGGTCGACTGTCTTCCCCTTCATGGTCAGTGTACATCATAGCAAGCGGTTGAGCAGCCTTAGCATATCATTAGCATATTACACTTAGATTGGTTGTTCAGTTGTTCTGCTGTTCAGTCTATTTGCATATTCCCCTTTTATTATATAGGATGCTTAAAACATATCCCTACTGAAAACCCCTGTAAAACAATAAGTAAAAAGTAAACAATCCAAATAAAAAATAGTCCAAGAACATAAAATGATGAGAGAGAACACAAGAGCAATGAGTTTGGAAGCTGGAAAGAATATGGACAATAACATGAGCCAAGGCACAGTCCATTTACCCACAAAAGACTCAGGTTTCAGAGAAAGGATGAATTAAAAAATTAGAGGTACCCTGGGCCTCTCTCACAATAGTAACTCTAACAACTGAAAGACAATGGAGCAATGCCTTCAAACTTCTGAGGGAAAGTTATTTCTAAGCTAGAATTCTATGTCTGGCTATGTTCCCAATAAAAATATTAGGTTAGAATAAGAACATTTTCAGACATAGTCTCTAACAATTACTTCCAAGGCATACTTTCCTAAGGAAGCCCCTGGAGGAGGACCTGATCCCCAGTGAAGGAGTAAGCCATGCCAGAGGAAGAGAGATCCAGAACAAGATCCACAATAAGAGAGCCATGGAGGGAATTCCAGGAAAATGGGGGAGGGAAATCCCGAAACTGGAAGTGTAAGGCAGGCCATTGGTGACTGATTAGAATACAAAAGAGGGAAGAATCAAGGATTACTTCCAGAGGTCTGGCTTGAACAACTGGTGATGAAGCTTGTAACTAGATAAGAAATCCAGGAAGAGCAGGTCTGCTTTGCACACACCAAGTCTGAGTGAAGACAGATAATGTGAACTACCTGGGCATGAAACAGATGCAGGAGTCCTCAAACTTTTTAAACAGGGGGCCAGTTCACTGTCCCTCAGACCGTTGGAGGGCCAGACTATAATTAAAAAAAAACAACTATGAACAAATTCCTATGCACACTGCACATACCTTATTTTGAAGTAAAAAAACAAAATGGGAACAAATACAATATTTGTATTTGTATGTGGCCCGCGGACCGTAGTTTGAGGACCCCTGGTAGAGATATAGGCTCGGTGGTGTCCCTGTAAAGTTGGCAACCTAAGTTCCCAAAGTGGAAAAAGATCACCCAGAAACCAAGTGTAGAAAGAAAAGGAAGGCCTATGACAGAGCCCTGAAAACTCCCAGATTTAAGAATGGGGCAGAAGAGAAGCTGGCCAAGGAGGGGCCGGAAAGACAGAAAGAAAATGAGGAGAACGGGAGGGTATCAGGAAAGCCAAAAGAGGAGATTGCACCAAAAAGAATGGCATTTCAATAGTCAAGGAAGAAGAGGATTTAAATGTGTCCAGTGAATTTAGTGACAAGAGGAAATTGTAATAAGAGCAGCATTTTTTTCCCATTAGATTATCAAAGGTTAAACAGATTGATCTTAAAGTTATGAAGCCATAGGTAATGGCACTCTCTTACACTATCGGTGGAAATAAAAATAAGCACCATGTTTTTGATAAGCAATTTACAAGTGCCCAAAAACAAAACACAGGGTGTCCCTCCAAGATGTATACACACTTTACAGCTGATAGCTCAATTAATGTTTCTTTCTTTTAACCCATTGGAATTAATAATTATTCAAAGTGTGTATACATTTTTTGGGACTATATATATATATATATATATATGTATATATATATAATCTCAAACCCAGAAATATTACTCTAACTATTCATCCAACAGAAATACTGATACAAGTATGCAAAACAAGTACAAGAATGTTCAATTAGCCCTTGATGTCAAATTTGGGACAGGGAGGACTACAACACCATCAAGAGGAAATAGGATAAATAAATTTAAATGTATTAATGGATGCCTATGCAGTTGCTCATACATGAAACAAATATGATTGTATCCATGACATAGTAAGTGAAAATGCAGTACATATAGTTCCCATGTTTCTTAAATGTGTATATTGATATAGATGTCCACACTTAAATATAATGAAAAGAAATCTAAAATCCATTAGATGTAAAGTCTATGAAATGGTACTTGGGAAGCAAAGGAGGCTTTCCTTCTTCTACTAGCTGGATTTTTTACAAGAACGTATTCTTTAAGTTTTCAAAGATAACATAAAAGGGGAAGAACAAAGTGCCTGCTAAGACAACAATGTGGGAGGAATTAGAACAGCCAGCCGCCATACCTTACCTTCTGTGAGTCAGGCCCTTGGCATAGACCTGGCTGACAAAGTCTTGTAATTGGAGTTTTGGGCACGATTCTTCACGTTCCCCACAGTCATCGGTGTGCACAGAGAGGAACAGCTCGTTCATAAGCTGCAGTGTTAGTGGGTGGGGCAGGTCCTTTGCTGTGCATGTGTTCAAGGCTGCGTAGAACACTCCTTCCAACCACTTGATATTGAGGATTATCCCGCCTACAAATCAATGACAAAGGAAAGACCAGTTAGCGCCACCAAAAACGTTTGCAGGGACCCTAGGACCAACCCAGACAGTGAATAACCACCTTTTTTCAAAGACAAGTTGGTCATATGAACCTCAAGATAAGCAAACACTCCCCCTCCCTGGCCAAGAACCCTGCTTGTGACCTTGATAACACATCCTGTTGACCCTGCCACGGTAGGACAAGTATGACTAATGTGGACATTTTTTAAAATATATGTTCTTATTGATTTTAGAGAGGAAGGGAGAGGGAGAAAAACATCAATGATGAGAATCATTGATTGGCTGCCTTCTGCAGGCCCCACACTGGGGATGGAACCTGCAACTTTGGTGCTTGACCAGGAATCGAACCATGACCTCCTAGCTCATAGGTCAATGCTCAACCACTAAGCCACCTCAGCTGGGCTAATGTGGACATTTCTAATGGCAAAAGCATCTCTAGGAATTTCTACATCAGACCTTACCAATTAAGAAGGAGCTAGGGAAAAGATTAGAGCAGGGAAAAACCCCTTAATCCCAGCCCAGCCAGTGTGGCCCAGTTGGTTGGAGCATCATCCTATGTTCAAAGGGTTGCAGGTTCGAGTCCCAGTCAGGGCACATACCTGGGTTGTGGTTCCAAACCAGGTTGGGGTGCACGTGAGAGCAACCAGTCTATGTACTCTCTGTCATCTCTTTCTCTCTCTCCTCTCAAATCAATACGCACATCCTCAGGTGAGGATAAAAGAAAAGCACAAAAAAACCCATTTAGTCCCAGACAGTACATCCTCCTGTTTAAATTGACTCGCCCCTTAGGTTGTTTCCAGTTCATTCTTAAAGGATCCAAATATTCAGACTTCTCAGCTTTCCCTATTTAGGACCGTTTTTTTGTTTGTTTGTTTGTTTGTTTTTTGCCACCAAAGTTGTTCCTGTATAAAACCTAAATAGCTGAGAATGCATCTAGCTATACAGTACTCCCCAACACACAAACACACACACACACACACACACACACACACACACACACACACACACGCTTGGATCTAATAAGATAGTAACAGCCAAAACCGGTTTGGCTCAGTGGATAGAGCGTCGGCCTGCGGACTGAAAGGTCCCAGGTTCGATTCCGGTCAAGGACATGTGCCTTGGTTGTGGGCACATCCCCAGTGGGGGGTGTGCAGGAGGCAGCTGGTCGATGTTTCTCTCCCATCGATGTTTCTAACTCTCTATCCCTCTACCTTCCTCTCTGTAAAAAATAAATAAAATATAAAAAAATAAACATTTTAAAAAAAAATAATAAGATAGTAACAGGCCAGGAGGAAAGTGATTTTTAAAAGAGTGCCAAAACTAGGGTGAGCCATTACCAGCAGGGTTGTAGGGGCAGGTAGCCTGAAGAATCTCAGGATCTTGAAGAGCAGCTGTGATTTCCCTGTTGGACTGCCAGATATTAGCAAAACCTTCAACACATTGATAGTGAGGCCGCAAGATACTGGTGTGGTCCAGCAGCCTTTTCAACCTGAAAGTAAAGCCACAAAGTCAGGGAGTGCAGGCCAGGCCTAGAATAAACCACATGATCCACAGAGTTAACAGCCAACCCCAACAACAGATATCCCCACCTCCACTCCCCAGCCCCCCCACAGCACAGGTGCGGGTCAGCTCTGAGGACACTACCTAGTTGGATTGTTTAGCCATCTGCCTAACCAACACTCACTGAATGTTATCACTTGCCTGGCACTGGCCTTGACACTAGGGGTAGAAAAGTAACACCTGACATGCTCTCGAACACTCTTCATCCTGTGGACTGGTGGTTTCCCCTCTCACTGATGCACAAGGGGAACATGAGTCAGCTGCAAGCAGTGGGAGGCAATGCTCTCTTGCAGTTCCAACCTTTTGCACATCAAAGAAAATGACCCACCCCCAGGGGCGGTTTGCAGAGACATGGGGAAGACACAATTAGAAAGCCTGGGTGGGCCCTGACGGGTTTGGCTCAGTAGATAGAGCATCGGCCTGCAGACTCAAGGGTCCCAGGTTCGATTCTGGTCAAGGGCATGTACCTTGGTTGCGGGCACCTCCCCAGTGGGGGTTGTGCAGGAGGCAGCTGATCGGTGTTTCTCTCTCATCGGTGTTTCTAACTCTTTATTCTTCTCCCTTCCTCTCTGTAAAAAATCAATAAAATATATTTTTTTTTAAAAAAAGAGAGAAAAAAAAGAAAGCCTGGCTGAGCCCTGCCTGTGAAGCGGTTTCCACCTTACTCCTGGGAATGACCACCTCCCACAGGTAGGAGCTGGGTGGAGGAGGGAGCAGAAGCCAGGGCGGAGGACAACAGAGCAGGTCTGCCAGTTCTGGGCTCCCCCTACCAAGGTACCTGGGTATTGGGATGGCAGCTACAAAGCTGTACACAATGCTGTCTTTTTTAAAGCTGGTGTTTATTTCCGCGCAAATATTAGGCAGCTGAGATGGCAGGCAGCAGAGGAATATCACGTCGGCCCAGCCCACCAGATAGGCGTTATGGTAAAAGCACCGGACCCCCAGGTTCTGCAACTCCTCTGGGAGGGATAGAAGAAGACAGAAAAATCACAGTACAGAGGAGAGTTGGGCCTGAACATCAACTGTAGGGAGAGGAAGACAATTATTTTATCTCAACTCTTGTCACATAAATCAGAAGAGATGCGCTCATGCCATCTAGGAGCCATGCAGCAATGCCCTGCCCCCTGCTAGCAGCGCTGGCAGCCACAGCGGCCGCATTTGAGATTATGAGACAATTTCTCAAATGCTTACCTCAAATGCTGGAGGTTTTCAGACGCCTTCTGCTACAATTTACTGAAGGTTTATTATATATCAGATAATACACAAAGTACTTTATATGTATTATCGACGGAAGTTCTCATAAGGACCTTATGAGGCAGAAACTAGTATTTTTTAATACTTCTTCTTGATTTTAGAGAAGCATCGATGTGTAAGAGAAACATCGATTAGCTGTCGCTCACATGTACCCTGACCAGGGATCGAGCCCACAACCCGGGCATGTGCCCTGACCGGGAATTGAACTGTGACTTTTCAGTGGACAGGACCATGGTCAGCCAACAGCCACACCAGCCAGGGTAAGTCAGAGACTAGTATTATTCATATACTATAGCTGAGGAAACTGAGTCTTCAAGAAGTCATATAACTGGGCTAAAATTACACAGCTAACTGGCTTGAGTTGGTAGGAAAGACTAAAAGAATGGAAGAGTCTAGGGCAGAAGCTGGGAAGATTTGGGGGAAATAAGCTTACAGTTTCTATAAAGGATACACAATTTAATGGTAAGATATTTATAAATGTAGAGAGAAATGGGATACATCATGTAGTTGTATAAAAACCACCCCTTGGTATTTGATCATTTGGTTGCCCTTATATGTATTTTCAAAAGTAAAAACATAAAGTCACACATGGTCCTATGTTTTAAATGGTATTGAAAAGAGAGTATTAGAGCCCTAGCTGGTTTGGCTGAGTAGATAAAGTGTCGGCCTGTGGATTGAAGGGTCCCAGGTTCGATTCCAGCCAAGGGCACATGCCTGGGTTGTGGGTTCGATTCCCAGTGGGGGGTGTGCAGGAGGCAGCCAATCAATGATTCTCTCTCATCATTGATGTTTCTATCTCTCTCTCCCTCTCCCTTCCTCTCTGAAATCAATAAAAATATATTTTTAAAAGAGAAAAGAGAGCATTAGACACTGGAGAGGTCACTCCTTATCTCAACCAGCAAGAATACATGATAAATCTGATGCTGAGGTCATTGGGGTACTCAGGTGCTTCCAGGTAGTAAGTTTAGAAAACAGGCACCTCCCTTCTTCTATGTTCTCAAAAGTACATAGAGGCTGATTCTGAGCATGTTGAATTCTTGCTTTCTTACTCAATAGACAGTGATATTCTAAAACTGTAACTTTATCCTATGTAATAAAAGGCTAATATGAAATCAACTGAATGGCGGAACGACCGGTCGCTATGACGAGAACTGACCACCAGGAGGCAGACACTCAATGTAGGAGCTGCCCCCTGATGGTCAGTGCGCTGCCACAGGGGGAACGCTGCTTAGCCAGAAACTGGGCTCACAGCTGGTGAGCGTAGCAGCGGTGGCAGGAGCCTCTCCTGCCTCCGCAGCAGCACTAAGGATGTCTGACTGACGGACATCCCCTGAGGGCTCCCAGACTGCAAGAGGGCACAAGCCAGGTTGAGGGACCCCTCTCTGAGTGTGCAAATTTTGTGCACCAGGCCTCTAGTTATTTTTTTTTAATTTTTCTTTCTTTATTGATTTCAGAGAGGAAGGGAAAGGGAGAGAGAGATAGAAACATCAATGATGAGAGAGAATCACTGATCAGCTGCCTCCTGCACACCCCCTACTGGGGATCAAGCCCGCAACCCAGGCATGTGCCCTTGGCCAGAACCGAACCTGGGACCCTTCAGTCCTCAGGCTGATGCTCTATCCACTGAGCCAGGCCAGCCAGGGCAGGCCTCTAGTTATTAATAAACATATCGCTTTCCAAAAAATATATGTAGTTTGTTGAAATACCATACATACTAGTTCTATCGATCAGATTTTTCAAAATTTGCCTTGAGTGATAAAATGTTAAGATTTCCTTAATTAGAAAGAACATGTACAAATAAGAAAAAAACAGGCATGCCAACAGAAAAACTGGACCAAAAGAACTCAAAAAAGACAAAAATAGCAATAAACATATAAAAATATCCAACTATTCTAGTGGTCAGTAAAAGACATATTAAAATAAGAAAAATTTTAAAGGCATAGTAAAATAGTGATAAAAAAAATAAAAGAGGCTCAGGCCCTGGCCGGGTAGCTCAGTTGGTTAGAGCGTCAACCCCATACACCAAGATTATGGATTCAATCCCCAGTCAGATCACATACAAGAATCAACCAATAAATGCATAAGTAAGTGGAATAACAACAAGAGGCCCAGAATTGGAAAAAAAAATGTAGTGAAATGGGTGTTCTTACACAACACTGGTGAAAGTGTATATCTGAACAACCTTTTTTGGAAGTCATTTTGAAAAAAATGTATTAGAAGTTACTTTAAAAATTAAATATTCCTACCATATGACCCACCATTTCACTCCCAAGTATGTACCAAAGAAAAATTAAAACATTTGTACTGGTATTTGTACACAAATATTCATAGCAGCTTTATTTGTAATAGCCCCACACTGGAAACAACTGGAATGTCCATCAACAAAAGACTAGATGAACTGGAATATTAACACAATGAAATACTACGCAGAAATAAAAAGAATATCAATACATGAAACAAACTATATCTTAATTATGCAAAGTGAAAGAAATCAGACCAAACAACAGTACAAACCATATGATTCCATTTGTATAATGTTTTAGAATATGCAAATAATTGATGATGACAGAAATCAGATCAGTGGGTTCCTAGGTAGGGGACTGCAGAGAGGTAGAGAGATAGAAATTATAAGGAAACTTTGGGGGATGATGGGTAAGTTCATTCTGTGTTGATGGTTTCAAATACACACCTGTGCAAAACATCAAATTGTACACTTTAAAATGTGTAGTTTATGGTGATATAAGAAATGTTCAGTTTACTATATGCAAATTATCCTATATAATAAAAACCTAATATGCTAAGTGCCCAGCCATTTATTCAACCAGTTGCTATGACACATGCTGACCACCAAGGGGCAGACTCTCTGACTGGTAGGTTAGCTTGCTGCTGGGGTCTGGCTGATCAGGACTGGGTGAGACAGGCCGAACATTCCCTGAAGCCCTCCCACAGTCCCTCTCTGGCCCCAATCATGCATTGGTGGGGTTCCTCGGCCTGGTCTGCACCCTCTCGCAATCCGGGACCCCTTGGGGGATGTCGGAGAGCTGGTTTTGGCCCAATCTCTGCAGGCTTGGTTTCTAGTATTTTAATAAAGCTGTACCTCTTCTTTGACCTAGTAATTTTACTTTTAAAAACATGTACAAGGAAATCTAATACGCCACAGCTACATAAATCATCATACAACCATACTTTGAAATACCATACAACCTTAAAATCATGATTTTGAAGAATGTTAACTAAAATAAGAATATGCTTATATTAAGTAAAAAAGCAGAATACAAATAACTTTGTACAGTCTCAATTCCTGATCTAATCTGATCAGAGAAAAAAACAGGAAATAATACCCCTGGTAAGGGGATTATAGGTAGTTATTATTTATTTTCCTGTAGAGTAACTTTCAAAATTTTATAAAATATGCATATAATATTTTACATTTATAGAGATTATTCAAGCATAATTTAGATACAGTGCAACATGCAGGTCTAAAGTATACAGTTTGGCCCTGGCCAGTTTGCCTCTGTGGTTATAGTGTCAGCTCACAAACCAAGTGTCTCAGGTTCGATTCCTGGTAAGGGCACTTGCCTTGGTTGCAGGTTCCCCAGTCCTGGTAGGGGTGTGTGTGGGAAGCAACAAATCGATCTCTCTCTCTCTCTCTTTCTCTCTCTCTCCTTCTCCTTCTCCTTCTCCTCTCTCTAGAACTCAGTGGGGATAATATCCACAGGTAAGGAGAAAGAGAGAGAGAGAGAGAGAGAGAGAGAAAGAAAATACAGTTTGATCACTTTTGTCATATGTATACACCCATGTAACTCACTCCTCTTTCAAGATCTACAAAAGGATGGGGAACATCCAGCCCACTGCCCATATAAGGCCCACAAAATCATTTGGTCTGGCCCTGCCAAGGCATTAGGGGTGAGTTAATTAAATGTTTGACCAAATAGAACAGGCTTATTTTTAAGTTGATAATTTTGTATGGCCCGAGAATGGTATTATAAATATCCAAATGGCCCTTGGCATAAGAAAGGTTCCCCACCCTGAACTAGAACATTTCCATCTCCTCAGAAAGTCCCCTCAGGCCTCTTCTCAGTTAGTCTCCCCAGAAGCAACCATTCTGATTTCTATCACCAGAGTGGATGGAATCAATAGAGAATAATTTTAAAAATTCAGGAAATGTTATTTGTAAAAATACAAGGCCACATGTTTGGCACTGGTTAACACACACCAGACTCTAACTGGTCCAGTTAGATTTGAACTCTTATTTTTATTAAGTTTTTATTGATTTTAGAGAGGTGGGAGAGGGAGAGAAGGATAGAAACATCAAAGATGAGAAACATTGATTGTCTGCCTCCTACAGGCCCCCTACTGGGGATCAAGTCTACAACCCGGGCATGTGCCCTGACAGGGAATCAAATCTTGACCTCCTGGTTCATAGGTTGATGCTTAACCACTGAGCACACTAGCCAGGCTCAACTCTATTTGGAAAGCTCTGCATCAAAGATCCAGAAAGATATCTCATCACCAAGGGCACAAGGAAGAGAGATGGTTATAAAACATTTTAGTGGAGAAGCAAAGTGTTTTTAGGAACAAGTTAAAAACAATCTTTCAAGCTCTTCTCAGACTAGAAAGCTGAGAACTCAGCATGCTGCACATGATTCCCCTTTCATCAACAGCCTGGTCAACACCTCTAGGGCATACCCAAGCCCCCTTTCTACCGTCTACTCCTCCTCACCCAGGGCCTCTGGCCTCCGAGTGGAGATCCACAGCCTCTCAGGAGGGATGGGGACAAGATCAAGCAGTACGTGAGCCAGTTGCTTCCCCAGGTGGCCGCCTCCAATGATGCCCACCTTTAACTCGTCTTTAGGAACGGTGGCATGCGATCCAATGGAGCGATATCTGGAAGTTTGCCACTTATGTATTGATTCTCTGGAAAATGAACACACAGATACATGCATAAACCCATGCTCATCCTGGCGCTCTTCTTGCCTGTCAACCTCTGATATTCCCTGCTCTGACTTTCTCAGATGGCAGCCTGAGGCACCTTAAGGAAGCGAGAGAAGCACTTGTGCTGCATCACTAGGAAATGAAATGTGCTCCCTGAGTGAATTTTCCAGAAAGTAAAACATACCCCTTCAGAGGACCAACACTGGTTTAAAACGTTTTTTTTCCCCTGCTGCAGGTTTATTTGTACAAACAGCACAGGAGGACACCAGCGCCACACAGACAGCAGCCCAGGGGGCCCCCCAGTCCTTCTGTCCTCAGGCAGACAGAGGCCTCTACTGTGGAGCCTTCGTGGGGGGCTGGGCACCTTTGGGAGCAGGAGCCTGAGCCCCTTTGGGAGCCTGAGCTGCAGCCGCACACGCAGCCTGGGGCTTGGTTTCCGCCTTGGCCTTGGCCTTTGGCCGGCAGAGCCTGAGCCCCTTGGCAATGCGGGCACGAACACGTTTCCCAAGCTTGAGGTGAGAGATGTAGGCAAGTCGACTGAGTTTGTGGCTGCAGCCCTTTAGGATATTGGGCCTGGGCTCCTTGGGCTTGACCAGGGCCTTGATGGCCTCAGCGCGTGCGCTCATGGCTTTGGCGTTGTTGGCCTGCATCTTCTTCAGGCCCTTCTTGTTGTGCTTCTTGGCAAAGCGCATGTTCCTTAGGAACTTGGGGTCTACCCCCTTAAGAGATTCGTATCTTTGTGACCGCGGTTTCTTGATGCCGTTTCTGTGCCATTTTCGTGACTGGTTGTGCATGGTGTGGTTCTTGGACTTGGCCATCTCTGCACAGAAGCCCGCGGCTGGTTTAAAACATTTTTAAGTGAACTTTTTCTGGTGAAATGTGTGGTAGGAATAGTGGATTTTCATGTCTATTGTTCCTGTTTTCATGGGAATGCCTCTGGTTTTACCCCACTGAATAAGACGCCAGGTTTTGAGCTGGGGATGCATATTTATAATCACATTGAAGTATTTATCATTGTTGCTTGAGTGCTTTAAACACGAGGTCTGAATGTTAAACCATTTTTTGACTCAGGACCATCGTTGTGAGCAGCCACTGTTGTACATCATCCGGGAACATGGGCCTGTTCTTGTTTTCTGTGCAGACAGCAGTCAATTTCCATTGCCACCAGGGCGAGCGCACCCGTCTCTGGCCACACACCTATTCTTTCTAGTTTGCTGTTTCAGTTCCGCACAGATCCAGGAAACCAAGTAACTTAGTTTTTTTTCAAACCTATGATTTATAGAAGAAAATGGCTTATCATGAGGGAAAACAGACCTGAGAAACTGAGTGAGGGTCAAGGACTGGAGCCCTCTCTGTCCAGAGGCTCATTTCACTTACTGTTGGTTCTGGGTGTATTTCCTTGGCCCAAGATAAACCGTCTGACCTCAGAAATCAGCAGGCATTGTTTTATGTTGTTACATGACAGCCTTATATTTGTTCTGTATTTAGTTTTTGAAAAATTAAAGCTCAATAAAATAAAAGAATAAAAATCAAAGTTCTGGAGTTTCCATATAAGCATCACAAGCCACATTCTATTTAAGGCTTCTCTCTTGGCTGACAGGAGAGCATTTTCTCTCAGTGCCTGACCCTTCCAAATATAAAATCCTTCCCGGAAGTTTCACATATCAGTTTCTCCCCACTCATCTTGAATTAAACAATAGGTTTATGCTTCTTATCAGTCAACAAATCAGCAAACTCCTTGAGAAGCCTGCCTCCTTGGGTATATGCTGTATCTATAACAAGTTCATTTCAGGTCTAGTTCCATCAACAAGGAGTTAATCAGTAGACTGAGAAGTAGACTGGGGAGCGGGTGCTTTCAAATACACCAAGAGTAACCCTAGAGTTACAGAACCCGAGAGCTTAGACCTAGGTACCTGGCCCTCACATGACTTCTATTTACGTGTCTGAAGCCACATTGTACAAAGATAGCAGAAGCCAGGACTGGTCTGAGAGCTTCTCTGTAAATCAGTGTTCCTGGTTTCAAGCAAGTCATCTGGTCATAGGGACCCTGAAGTCTAAAATGGCTTTCCTATGAGGGAGCATTCCACTATTAGCCCCATAAAAAGGAACTCATGCCATCTTCATGGGATGACAAGTCATTGGTCATCTCCATGAGTGAATGAATGAATGGAGGGATGAATGAATTTATTATTTAATCAATCCACCCACTGAAAGGAAATCACCACTGATCCATGCTTTATGACAGAACCACAGCCAAGGGACCTCAGTATGCATTTCTCTGGTGTTTTCAGACCAGGAATAATAGATTGTGGGTTGGAAAAGGTAGGAAGACACCAAAGTTATTCTCCCATATAAAAAGTTAAAGCCATTTGGAGTCTTTGCAGTGAGACTCTTCTCCGTCTGTCTGACCATGGAGACCTTGCTTACCTCATATTATGGAGTACCTTGCAGAAGAAGGTTGCGTGGGCACAGGCCTCGATCATCCGCCCCTGATAACGACCCTGCAAATACAGCCAGCAGCGGTCTTCCTCTTCAATCCCATATTCAAACTGCATGGACGTAAGGTCCTTTAGCAATTCCATCTCTAAGCCGACGGATCAATTTGGCTCCCTATCCTGGAAGAAGAGGGAGTCTATGAAGGAGGGTGTGTGTGTGCCCAAGTCCTAAGTTCTCATGGCGGTGGGCTTCAGCCCATCTCCTCCAAGTCCTGAACTCACAGCTCTCATCCACTTCTCTGTTTCAGCGTGAGAAGTCCTAAGCACTGATTGCCCGTTAATCGAGAATACCTGGATTCATGAAAAACCTGAACAAAAATCCAGAGCGATGTTCCTCCATAAGCACTTCTCTCAGCAGATGCATTAACATGAGCAATGGGGTTCACAGGTGCCTTTGGGGTAAGACTTTCTCCCTCCCATTCCCTCCTATTTAGAAACAGGACTGAGCACTTAAACCATATTTCATAGAAAGTCTTCCAATTTCACTAAACCTTGTGTTCCCCCACAGAATAGAAAAGAGCCCAAACGAAATACCATCCTCTCTGGTCTAGTTCAGGGACATCTAGATTTTAGAAAAGGAAGCCAAAGAAGTGTAAGCCCATTTACATAGACCTCTCACCAACCCAACCTAGGAGGACATGGCTCTGCTCCTCGTTACATCTGGTCCTCAGGGTAAGAACTACATTTCCAGGGAGAACTACCCAAGAAAAATTGCCATTATGACTCCTTAGTTACCAAATTACTTGCCTTGGAGTCTTAAAGGGGCCAGCCTCACCTAGAGGTTTTCCTCATCTGCAACACGAGGACATGAATTCCTTTCACTACTTCTAGAAGTTCTACACCAGGGCTACGGGTCCTGCTTTTCCCAACAGAAGGTTCTAGAAGTCCTTTGTTCTAGACTTCTAGATTTTTTTGTAGACTAGGCTACCATACAGGTCTTAGCACTACTCAGAGTTATTTTTCAAATCCTTCTTTTTATTTTCAAGAAATCAATGAATAAGATAAGCTTTGGGAATGTAATGTACATCATGGTGACTATAGTTAATAATACTGTATTGTATACTTGAAGTTTGCTAAGAGTAGATCTTAAAGTGTGTTCACCACATAAAAGGTAACTATGAGATGATGGGTATGTTAATTAACTTGATATTGTAGTAATCATTTCACAATATCAAATTATGTTGTATACCTTAAATAGATGTTAACTTTTGACAATTATACCTCAATAAAGCTGGGAAAAAGCAATGATATGCCTAACTCTTATTATATAGCAATAGTGGTATTGAGACCAGAATTTAAAACTACTCATCTCTAATCTGCATTTAAAGTAAAAAATTATTATTGAGGTGATATTCACGTTACCTGGACATTTAAAAGTGAACAATTTCAGTACATTCACAATATTGTGCACCCTCTACCCCTCTCTAGTCCCAAAACATTTTCATCTCCCGCACAAAGGAAACCCTGTACCTATCAGGGAGTTACTCCCTACTCAACCCTCTCATCGGCCCCTGCCACCCACCAATCTGCTTTTTGTCTATGGATTGACCTTTTCTGGATATTTCCCATGAATGGAATCACAATAGGGGACCTCCTGTATCTGGCTTCTCTTATCCTTTTTATAGGAGGGTTGTTATATTACTCTCCCGATCTCTTTAAAAGCAAAATCTCCAGCACTTTGAAGTAGAGTGTGGAAGTTCTCATCAAGTCTAAGAAACACTTCCTTAGATCAAAACAGTGAGTAAGTCATCCTTACTTTGCAAGTGATTTTTCCTGCTCCAAAGGAAAGAGAACTCCAGATGTCCAGCTCCTCATGACCACTGCCGCACAGGTTAACTTGTACAAGCCTGGATGCCAGGGCCCTCTTTCCCCTCATCTCAAAAATGGGAAGCCAGTGGTTGTGGCTTTGTAACACGTCAAGGGGGCTAGGTGACCTACATTTTCCAGACTTTCCATGTCCACACATTTCTCGTTAGATATGCCACAGGAGAGATTTCTGGGCAAGGTCCGGAAGGTGGAAGTGAAGTAGTGGTCAGTTTGTGGTGATGCCTGTGAGGGAGGGGCAGACATTTTGCTGTCTGCTGGGGACCCTCTTGGTGATGGGGCAGCAGTTGGGCCTGCAACTGCTACCTTCCCCTTGATCCTCCTGCAGCTTTTCACACACCCGGGCCAGGGCTGTTTTCAGCTCGGTGACAAAGGCCACCAGTGAGCTTTTGCAGGACCCCCTACTTCATCAAAAGTGAGAACTGACTCGGGTTCCAGTCCAGCCCAGTGGGTTCCAGCTTGTCCTTGCTCGCCCCTCACTGTATTCCCATCCCTCCTTCCCCACTGCCTGCCACATGGATTCCCAGCTCTACCACCAGCCATGTAGACAACCTTCCTGAGACGTTTAAATAAATGCCATTCTTGAATAAGGTCAAATCCCGGTGATAAATCTCACATATAGGTTAGATGGACACAGACTGCATACTCCAGTAGTCTGCTTCTCTAAATGAACCCTAATACACCAGTTACTAAAGCTATGAATGTTTGAAGACCAGCCAATAACTTTAGCACAAGCTAGCAAATTAAACTCCTGTTCCTTCACAGCAAGAGATGATTAGGGGAGGAGCCAAACATGGTTACCAGGAATCACAAAGAGGACTGCAAAGTGGAGGAGCAAGAGTTGGAATCCACACTGGGGGGATAAGGACACATTTATAATATCTTAATCAATAAAGGGGCGGGGGGAAGAGTTGGAGTCCAGTCCCCTTAAAGCCGGATTTCTCAGGATTGTCATTAGTGATATTTGGGGCTGGGTAAGTGTTGCGGAGTCTGTCCTGTGCATTGTAGGATGTTTAGCAGTATCGCTTGCCTCTATCCATTAGTAGTATCATCTAGTTGTGGCAACAAAATGTGTCTCCAGACATTGGCACAGGTCTCTTGGGGGGCAAAATTGCACCCACTTGAGGACCACACTGCCTTAAAGCCTGTGTGTGCCTCTGACTCCGCAGTCACAGGAGACAGAATCCTACAAGCTCCGAGAGAACTGCTCTCCCATTACAGATTAGGATCATGAGTCCAGAGAGAGAGGGACTCACCCAGCATTACACAGCTTGTCAGTAGAGCCGGGACCAGAGGCCAGGTCTTTTGATCCCCAGCTCAGGTCTCCTTCTGTTAACCACAAGGCCCTGCTCTCTCGAAGCACCAGCGCTCCATACCCTGACACCCGTTGGTAGGCTGCTGAATGCAGTCACTGAGGCAGACAGGTAGTTGTCCCAAGAGACTGGGCAATTATTTCTTTGTTCTGCACAAAACAACTGGAGGGAAAAAGACGGCACCAAGGAAGAAACAGCTTTATTAGGAGTCCACGCATGTCTGGGGAAACCCAATCCAATCACAGAGAAGAGAGGCTAACATTGGATAGGGCAGGCATCTAGCATTACAGAACATCCTCTTAAAAACCAAGGGTGATACTAAAGCCTCCATCTCAATATCCTAACAGTCAGAAATGCTGCTGAGGTCAGCCCTAGTGGAGGCTCCTAGTGCAACAGCGAGTTCTGGGCATCCGGGAGAGCTCTGGTACTGCCAAATCTAAGCTCCACACAGGTGGGCAGTCTGGGGCAGGAGAGTTAGAGGGAAAGGCAGTGGGGATGTTCTCGTCACCTACACAAGGTCATCTCAGTCTGCAGGTGAGAGAGGAACCAGAGGTCCTTGAACAGAGGCTAGACTGGGGCAGCAGAGGGACGCTGGCTGAAGACACAACGTCTGGGCCATCTGTCATAACTTGGAGTGCTCCGTGAAGTCTGGAGTGAGGGCACCTCCATGAGGTCCTGCAACATTGGCACCCTTCTCGAGGAGCCATTTTGGTTCTGTTGTGACTCCATTCACAGCAGAACTGGCCATGTCCAGCACCAAGTCCAGGGTCACAGTTGCTGAGAGGAACTGAGTGGTCACTCTATGAGAGCTGTACCTCCTAGTCTAGGAGACTTCTTTAGCAGAGCAGTCACTTTCCTCAGACCGAGGGAGATCTTGCCCCAAATGGGCCCAGTCTAGAAATGACTCCACTTTCACGTGAGCACCAGGTGGAGGGAATCTTTCCCATGAATCGAAGCTTTAGACCTCGGCCCTCAGACAATGGCCCTTGGACAGAAGATCAGTGCTCAGGTGCCAGTTTCTGTCCCAAGAGTAGCAGGTGCCACCTGTTAATGACAGGCCCAAGCGATGTGCTGCTGTAACTCGCCCAAAGGAGAGTGTGCGCTCTGTCAGCTTCAGACTGAAGAGTCCTGGGTTCAATTCCAGTCAAGGGCACGTATTTTGGTTGCAGGCCAGATCCCAAGCCCCGGTCGGGCAAGTGTAGGAGGCAACCAAACAATGTGTGTCTCTCACATCGATGTTTCTCTGTCTCTCCCCTCCCTTCCACTCTCTCTAAAATTCAATGGCAAATATCCTCAGGTGAGGATTAACAAAACAAAACAAAAAGAGAGTACATTCTTTTCAAAGGCAGGAAAGGAAGAAACGAGGCAGGTCTCAGGGTAGCTGATGCCACTTAATTCTTCCACCGAATTTGCTGTGGGGAAAAAACAATGATCATTTTGCACTGATCCCTACAGAGAGGTAGTGGAAATGCAATAAAACAAGACTCACAGGTAGGTGCTGTAAGGAAAAGAGGATACGAACTAGACACCCATTCTGATTCTCAGAAGCTGAGTTGGGGATTTATTCTGATCCTAACCTTCTCAGGGCCAAGATTAAACTAGCTTCTGCGCTGGCTGGTATGGCTCGATTCCCAGTCAGGGCACATACCCAGGTCGTGCGTTTGATCCCCAGTCAGGGCATGTATGGGAGGCAACTTATTGATATTTTCTCTCACTTTGATGTTTCTCTCTCTCTCCCCGCTACCTTCCTCTCTCTAAAATCAATAAAAACATATCCTTGGGTGAGGATTAAAAATAAATAGTTGAACAATCATTTTAAAAAAAAAAAAGATTCACTAGCTTTCAATGACCCCAGGTAGGTCCCAAAACATCTAACAAGGAACTAAGATCAACATTAACAAAAAGCTCAGCAATTTCATGCTATGAGAGACAAGCAGGCTGTACTTCCCAAATTGCTAAAATCGATTTCACCCTCTTCTTACTTCCAACAGGTAGGTAATATCCATTCCCGGGATGTTCTGAATCTAA